GTTGTCAGTTATTTCCATAAATAATTTTCATATATATAATTTAAACACCACTTATCTCCTTATGATTATATTTCCAGTAAATTATTGGTACAATGTTCAGACATCCTCTTTTCGGCTGTGTTTCAATTCAAGTGCTTCTGTCGCAGGCATTGCATAACAATGTTCGAATAGACAATGGGACTGCAACAATGAAATTAAAACCCTATGTTCTAACAATGAGAAAATACATAACTAACTAACTAACTAGATGGCTTACCGAACCCGAAGGTTCTTCACCAAATTAACCAAAGCCCTCCACCAGACCCTGTCCTGGGCCAACAAAATCCAGTTTCCTTCAACTCCTATCTGCCATAGATCCCACCTGAGATTATCCTCCCATCTACGTCTAGGTCTCCCCAGCGGTCTCTTCCCCTCAGGTTTCCCAACCAGTACCCGGTGCACACCTCTTGTCCCATCCATGCGCGCTACATGTCCCGCCCATCTCACTCTTCTCGACTTAATCACCCTCACAATACTGGGGGAGCAGTACAGATTTTTAAGCTCGTCATTGTGCAGTTTTCTCCACGCCCCATCGTCTTCCCTCTTAGGCCCAAATATCCTCCTCAACACCCGATTCTCAAACACCTGCAATCTGTGTTCCTCCCTCTGAGTGAGAGACCATGTTTCGCACCCATACAAAACAACAGGCAAGATTATTGTTTTGTATACTTTAATTTTCAGGTTCTTAGAAATCAGACGGGAAGACAAAATATTTTGGACTGAGAAGTAGCAAGCATTTCCGGAATTTAGTCTCCTCCTAACTTCCTCACAAGTATCATTTTGATTTGTTATTGTTGTTCCCAAATATTTGAACTTTGTAACCCTTTCAAAGGATTTATTAGCTACCCTAAGATAATTTTGCCCGCCTGTCTTCTGATGACGAGATACTAACATGTACTTAGTTTTTTCTGAATTTACTTCCAGCCCCACTTGTCTACCAGCCTCTAGTAAAACTTCTGCGTTCCTCTTTATTGTATTTATATCGTCCCCCAATAAATTAACATCATCAGCATATGCCAATAGCTGATGTGTCCCGTTCAATTGCAAACCCTCCTGCCTACCTTGGACCTTCCTGATGGCGTATTCTAGCGCAAAGTTAAAGAGCAAGGGAGACAAAGCATCTCCTTGTTTTAGACCGTTCTTGATGAGGAATGTCTCAGATACATATTTACCTACTCGAATTTTGCTGCAGGTTTCATTTAAGCACATTTTTATTAGACCCACTAGCTTCTTTGGTATACCAAATTCAATAAGAATATTATATAGCACTTCTCTCTTCACAGAGTCATAGGCTTTTTTGAAATCTATAAATAACTGATGTACGGTCCCACCGAACTCCCATTTTTTCTCTAGTATCTGACGAATGCAAAAGATCTGATCAATCGTTGATCTGTTTCGTCTGAACCCACACTGATGATCCCCAATAGTTTCATTCGCATATGGGGTTAATCTTGCCAAAAGAATGTTGGATAGAATTTTGTATGAGGTTGATAGCAGCGATATTCCTCGGTAATTACCACACTCAGTCTTGTCCCCCTTCTTATAAATAGGAATAATTATGGATTCCTTCCATTGTTGTGGCATCTCTTCCTTATCCCAAATTAACTGAATAAGCTTATGGATCCTCCTATGCAACCCTTTGCCACCTGCTTTAATTAATTCGGCCGGAATCTGGTCAATTCCTGGAGATTTATAACTTTTCAACTTCCCAATGGCTAGTTCCACTTCATCTAAGCTAGGTTCTGGCACCAACAGTTCAGCTGTATGCCTTTTAATCTGTCTAATATCACCAGTATTATGAACATTTAAGAGCTCGCTAAAGAAATTTTTCCACCTATTCACAATTTTTATTGGATCTGCAAGCAAATTGCCACTATCATCCTTTACCAAATTAGTCTGGGGTTGATATCCTTTCTTAAAGTTATTAATGCCTCTGTACAGGTCTCTGATGTTTTTTTCCTTATTATTTGTCTCAAGTTCAGCAATTTTGCCCTTCAGGTATTCCCTTTTCTTATTCCTAAAGGTTCTACTAGCCTCACGTTACATAGATTATCCGCATTTGTTTTGTTTGGGTCCTGCAACCATTGAAATTTTATTTGCTTCCTTCGATCTATTAATTTGGAACATTCTTCATCAAACCACAGTTTATTTTGCTTTCTCCTGTAGCATCCTAGTTTCTCTTTGGCTGAAATTTTGATGCAGTTTCTGAAATTTTCCCACTCCCTGTTGATGTCCACACTTTCATTATCTTCATTTGTCTCTAAAATTTGAAACTTCAACTTGATATTGTTCCTTTGCCTCTCCCTCACTTAATTTTTTTCAAATCAAATCTTTCTGTGTCTAAATTTTGTTTAGTTCGTCTACTTACTGCAAGCTGCTCCCTCACTTTTGCTACCACTTGATAACAAACAGCATCACAGTCTGCTCGTCATCTGATATATTTTGAAACTAAATACAAGTTGTTATTGGCCAATGATTTTAAAGGTGGAAACATGCCAGAATGAAACAATAGATATGCATCTAAAATCCTTTTCTCTTTTTCAAATATGTATGCATTTCATAATACTTGTGAATGAGTTTAATTAACACGGGCTGTAATATAAAATAATGTGAGGCTCCCGAATCGCGTTCATTACGTTAACCTATACATAAGTGTATAATTCTAAGATTACTACTTGAGTGTTGGTAGTTCTGTGCTCTCGGATAACTAATATGGCGAAAATGCGTCTAAAGAATTCGATTTCTGTTTGCTTAGAAATGGCGCCGTAGTGTTTGTTCGTTTCGTATTGAAGTAATAATAGTGGTTTGTTGTTTAAAGTTATTAGAATCATCTTAGACAGAGTATGTATGCATTCTTGGGAATTTCTATGATATTTATTTCCGTTCTTTATGTTGCAAAAAGACTTATAATGACGAGAACAGCTATTTTAATGACTGCAACAGTCGTAGTCCAATGTGTGTTTGTCCTTTGTAGATATTTGAACGGATCCCATTCATGCCATAAAACCTGTTTTGGACCTTTATTTGTAAACATTGAATACATTTATCCAGTCTGGTATAATAAAGAAACACATATTAGTCCATACATATTTTTGCATTATTTCATGTGGCCAGATGAGGAAACCGAAAATTACATATTAATTACATGGATTCTCCAGATATATAATTAGTACGAAAGTCTTTATATGACCTATCTTACGTCAGTATTTTCCTAACGTGTAATTTCTTGTTTTTGTTAATTCTCTGCTGATTTTAATTGAACCATAGTCTGTTTTCCAGTCCTGTGTGTTACACAACCTATATAGTAATTAATTTATGTGTTTAAGTTTGTGCATTGTTATAAAAATAACTGGTCCAGTAATATATGTGTCTTTTCTAATTCATCGTGTGTCAGCTTTAATGTTATGTAGTGATATATAGTGCATATATTTTTAATGTTGTTAATCTCAGGTCAGCCTACCTGATTATTTTGAAATTTTATGTAATCATGAATGTAGAACTGGCTTTCTTAGTAAAGTTTGATAAATTTATCCACTCCTCCCAAGTAAAAGCCATGCATTACCTGTAAGATTTTTTTTGTGAGACTTCTTCCTGCTAATCATTGTGTGAGAATTCAAATCTTGTGCCAAAACCATTTGGTCCCTTATTCATCAAGGCATACCTTTCTTGTTTGTGTTTTGTCATACAAATCTCCAAATTATTTTGTTGTGAATACTTTAGGAGGCCTTGTGTTTCAACATCATACCAAGAAAAGTCCTAGCCTAGTTAGGTGGGCAATGAGGATTGTGATTTCAGCTTCAGCTGTTAAAGTATTTTATCTTTGTTTATGATTTGGTATGAAAGGTGTGATTCTTCCAGTAAGTGGCAAATATATTTGCTAGCTTAAGTAATTATGAACCTTCCTTAACATGATACCAGGTTTGAGGTACTCTTCATAAAATTTTAAGTTTGTTAATCATGGACCTGACATGTAATGTGTATGGGAGAGATGAGAAATGTGTAAAAAAAAATCTGTTGTCAGATAATCTGCATAGTTGTAATGTTCAAGTAATATTTGTAAATTCATTAATTGTATTTCACATGCACCAAGAATTTCAATTAAACTATAAAATACATATTTACAGGCAACTCTCGGTTTACGAACTGAAGCTGTCCCCCAAAACCCATGTTATATCGATGTCCCACTGTACTAAGAAAATAGTTCATGAAATATATTGCAGCATACATAAAGAAACAGAAAAATAAGTAATAATTAATTTTGTAGACTATGAGGCTTGTCTATTGCAATATAAACCATTCTTGAAGATGTTTTGTTTTCTTTATATATCAGCTATACCTCCTCAGCCATTATCACAAACCACTAGAAAATCATACTATTTTCTTGGTACCTTTTAATTCTTGTTCTCCTTTCTTCTATTTGCAGCTCAATGAAGATGGCAAACTCATCCCATCATGTATCTTGTGGATTGGATTTCTGCAGTGTTCCAGATATCAGAGGAAGTCTTCAAGGTGCCTCAGAAGCGGGGTATGCTTGTTTTACATTTCTATTTCATTTACTGTACTGTTTAAATTCAGTGTGTTTATTTGTAGTTTTTAAAAAAAGAAACTCAGAGTGGTTTGCAATTTTAAACCCTTAACTAAATACCTGTGCGCTGTTATTAAATATCAGCATTTAATAAAATTGGCTCCTGTATTTTAGAACTTTCCATGACATCAGCTTTGATTAAATGTCAGGAGAAGGAAGGGTTAAACCACGCATCTTAAACTCATATCTGTTTTTTTCCCAGTAATGATCTGGCCTTTGGTATTTTCCAGAAAACAGCATAACTTCAGATAGGGTGGTAGTGTTTTTTCGAGAACAAATGAAGGTATCTGTTCCGCAAGGTCACTGACCCAGCATGAACCTTTGTAGCATATTCTGAAATGTTAACTTTGTGATGTGGACTTAGATCTAATTTCACTATTATAGTCTCACAGGTTAACCAATAAGATTGCAATACTAGGATGTGTTTCCTTTTGTTTTTCAGATATGACTTTACGTGTTTTCCAATTGTTCATCCAAGATTTAAAAGAGAATTTATTAGTGGAAAGAGTAAAGAAAGACCTGGAGCTTTTACACGATCAGATCTTATCCTTGCTGGCTCAGGTATGTAATTTGTGACACATTTTGTGACCAAGGATTCTAGTTTGTACATAAAACTTTAATTTGGTCTCTTGTTCCATTGTGGTATTAGGAAGGTTGCCGAGATTTTTACAGAATATACATTTGTGCAGGTGGAAGAATGTGAGAAAATGAGGAAAGTTCAACCGTCATGAATTACTTCAATGTGTAACTCAGTGGTCCCCAACCTTTTTGTGCCTACGGGCACGTTTGAGACTGTATGAGATCGTGGCGGTCACCAACCAATTAACAAAGCCAAATTTTCTGTTCTCTGGACAAATAAGATATGGACACCAAATAATACGCACAACAACACAACGTTTAATGACGCAAGAAACCATGCAATCAAAAATACGTACTTTTATAAGTACAATTATTATTACTCAAGTGGGAAGTTAGTGTGATGTTTGGCACTGCATTTCATCTGCCAGATTTTCAAATTTGGGAGTGTAGGATGACGTTGCTACTCGCAAACAATTGTCAAGATGGGTGTTAGTAAGTCGAGATCTGCGCTTTGATTTTGTAATGTACATGGTTCAACGGCCTTCATTATTCAGTATAACCTCTTTCCGTAACAATGCGGGCACCCAAAAAAAAGCCATGGCGCCCGCGGGCACCACGTTGGGGACCACTGGTGTAAACAATAACTTGTTTTACAAAAGGAATACATTTTTTGAAAGTCATACATTAGAAAAAAATTGGAAAAACAAAACTGAACTTCTATTAATTTGAACACAGCAGTAAAGATATGGACATTAATTTGTGAGATTTACATGGTGTATTTTCATTGTAACGTTCTTTACTGTTAGCAAAAATCCATTAGACACATGGGAAAGAGGATATTGATTTTTAAAGTATGGGGTCCGCATTGGCTGTGCGGTCTGAGGTGTGGGCCTTGTGCTGCTTGGTCGCAGGGACCGTTGGTTCGAATCCCACTCAAGCCATGAATGTTTTTCTGTGTTGTGTTGTCCTGTGTACAGGTAGAGGCCTTGCGACGGGCCGATCCCTCGTTCAAGGAGTCCTACCGAATGTCCATAGATCAAGCCAACTGAAAAGTTGGGGACCCGTAAAGGGTACTGGAAAATGTACAAACATTGTTAAACCAGAAAAAGAAGAAGATTTTTAAAGTATGTTAAATAAATATGTTAATTGAGCATTTGTATATAAGGATATGTCCCCTGCCCTTGAGATTTGGGATTCTTACAGCAGTGAAAGTTTTATTCATGAACTTGTAGATGGTTACAACTTTTTGGAGAAACATATTCCTTCCATCATCAGGTTGAAGCAGGTCAAGATTTGGATGTGAGACTAGGTAATATGGTTAAAATATCATATGAGTGGTTTGCACTAGTGGATATCATATACAAAATAACAAACACTTAATCAGAAGGATTTCATGGAAATAAGTATTTCCAGACTATAAAAATTTGCTTGAATTTAAATGAGAAAATTTATGTAGCTGACGTTGGATTGATAGAACAATAAATTTGAATTCCTTCTACAGATTGGAACAATTTGATAGTAGGAAAACTGTCACCATATATTAATGTTGATTCTGAAGATCCAGTTGTGCGAAAACATTCCGAGGAAGCACTGAACCAAGAACTCACTTATGCAAATCATCTTGGCCTTCCTGCTGTTATGTTAACTCTCAGAGGAAATAACCAAATCAATCTTGCACGAATTTTTCACAGTAAAATGCAGGCTGGAAGCACTTACCAGGTAACTTTCATGTTGGTAGATGTAATGTTAAGTTTAGATTAGTATTTTTATAAGGTGTGCTGTTTGATTTCATTCTGGTTGTATAATGACGTGATAGCTTGATTTGAAGTAGAATTAAAACAGCAAAAGGTGGTAAATGATGTTTTGGATGAATTAAATTTGAGGATGTGAATTAATTCACCCTACAAACATTCTTATGTTTTATTAGTGAAATAATGGTTACTTATACAGAAATTAATGAGAAATCAAGGCTATGGTAATTTGTAACTGAGTAATGTGTAATTGTGGACTAGCCATTATTATTATTATTATTCAGTGTTCTGTCTTACGACAGGTCCATTGCTCTGCCGAAAATGAGCTCTCCAGTTTTCCCTAGTCTCAGCTTCTCGTTTTAATTCCTGGAACTTCATCTTCTTTCCTTGTTTAAGATCGTCGGTTAGCTGTGTCAGTCTTCTTCCCAGTCCTCGCTTTCCTTCAACCTGGCCTTCGGTAATATCACTCAGTAATCCATTCCTTCTCATAATATGTCCCAGCCAGTTAGCTTTCCTTCGTGTAATCGCCTGCAGAATGTTTCTTTGCTCGTTGACTCACAATACTTCTTCGTTGGTCACTCGATCCGTCCACCTGATCTTCTCTATTCTTCTCCAACACCACATTTCAAAACTCTCCAGGTATTTCTGTTCCTTCTTCCTGAGTGTCCAAGTATCTGCTCCATACAGCGCGACACTCCATACGTAACACTTCACTAGTTTCTTCTTCATCTCCAAGCCCAACTTGCTAGTGAGAAGTATCCTCTTCTTGACGAAAGCTGCCTTGGCCATGGCTATCCTTGCTTTTACTTCCTTGGTGCATAGAGCGTCCGTCGTGATTATGCTGGACTAGCCATTATAACTGGAGAAAGTGTAGGATTTGTTCTATCCTTTGTTACATCTTCATAAACTTGTACATTGTTGACATTTTTCTTTAGCTTCACTAAATATGTATTTAATGTTGGTTCATTGTTTTGATGATTTATCGCCATTGCTTTTTGACAAACAAAACACAGTGCCAATAATGAACTTCCTACAACTACAAAACAAATTTTATTCATTGTTTAATCCTCTGAAGGCAATGCTCATATAAATTATGTTTAAACATTCGGTTCCTACCTGAAAGAAAACATAATGCATTACTATCAGAAAGATCAGTTGGTTAATGCTGTTTAGGGAAATAGTGACTTTATTCTGAGAAGCTTACCATACCACAAATACACTCTGAGCAAAATGCAGAGCTACTGATTTTTTAACCAGGAGGTACATATACTTACCACTGGACTTAAAAGTGTTTGTTCAAGACTATTGAATCAACGTGCGCTAGTTAACCTGAATTGCAGTTACTTCACAAATCACGTCTTAATTTTCTTGCCGGATCTCATATAACCTCCTTTTAGTGTCTGTAGGACACTGATTTTGTATTGCTGATTTACTAATTTTCTGCAAATTAATATTTTTACTTTGTTATTATGTTTAATATATGTATAAGTAAACTTTTGGGAAGACTGAGGGGAAGAGACCGCTGGGGAGACTTAGACATAGATGGGAGGATAATGTCAGGCAGGATCTATGGGACACAGGAGTTGAAGGAAACTGGGCCCAAGACAGGGTCAGGTGGAGGACGTTGGTTAATTCGGTGATGAACCTTCGGGTTCGGTAAGCCATCTAGTTAGTTAGTTATAAGTAAACCTTTAAGTAACAGCATATTTTAATATTTTCTAGGTTTGGGTACATTTACCCATGGAAAGTCCTGCTGTAGCAGCTTCATATTATCATAACAGTGAAGAAGAGCTGATAAAACTGCAGGGAGATATCAACACATGGGGATGGTAACTAGCTTATGTGTTTAGAAGGGAAAAACATTTTATTTGTTGTATGGCTATGGCATGGACATGTATTTTAACTTTTTCGTACTTGATATATAAGTATTCTCTCATGATTCTCTACTAGATGGCTGTAGCTGACAAGTCAGGATTGAATAGAAATTGTCACTCACTACTCAAATGCACTATACAAGACTAATAAGGATAAGTTGCCTTAAGCAACTGTCCCGAAACGGGCCAGTTGCCCATTCCTTAATGTGGAAATGATATTAAATGTATAAGTGGAAAATTTCCTTAAGTACATGTATAACTAAATTTGAAGAAATCTGAGAGGGGCATTTTGATGCATAGAACATTTTTACTGAATCACATGTCTGTTGTCTGCATTCTTTAATTGTTTGTCTTAGAGGTCAGCAGGGGAGTAGGTCAGATAATGTGCAGGTTTGGGCCTACTTTAGATGATAGCAGTTTAACGTTGTACAGAACATTCTGAGCTTTCTCATGCTATTTTTTCATGTGGAAAAAGTTATTTCTTGTTACGCTCATCTTATGCTCGTGACACACTCAGGTTCTGAAAACAAATTCCACTGACTTGATTTTCATACCTGTCCCTTTCCATAAATAGGTCACTTTATCATATTACAAACTTGGTATTTGATATCTTTGTACTGCTCCCCAAACATGAACATAACCCCAGATGTTCTTGAAATGTTGTTAAAAAAGTCATTCAAGGATTACTGGCTTTTATATATTAAAAGAAACGTATTGATGATATGACAGTCAGGGGAAATTTTAAATGAATTAGTCTTCATTTTGGGCTGGATTAAAAGGAAGTCAGGGCACGGTCAGGTAGAGTTAACATGTTTGAAGATAAACTTCAGGATCAGGCTGGGACAGGTCAAAGGGTCCTCAGACGGATGGGAAAAATTAAAAAAATTTGGCCTGTGCAGTCATCTAAATTGTCTTGTTATTATGTGTCATGTCATGTTTCTTCCTTGCGGAAGTACCTTTATCAACTGTAGTCAATCACATTCCGTTAAAAATAAGCCTGAGATTTATATCTGTAGTTCATCATGGACTTTGAAACTCATTTATAACAATGTGGTGTTAGGTGGAACAAGTTCCGTTCTGTGTGCAACTTTGAGAAGAAACTGGGTCTAGCATTGGAAGTGACTCCAGATATTCCACCTGAGGAAGAAATTGCTCGATGGATGGGTGAACCAATCAAGTGTTTGGTTTTGTCCACGTCACTGTTTGTTACGAATAAGAAAGGATACCCTGTGCTGTTACGTCCACATCAAAATCTCATAAAATCCTTTGCATCTCTGGATATTCAGGTTGTGGTACGAGGTGCTATCAGGCATGGTTGTTCTAAATACTATCAGCAGTATTTGGATCATCTGTGGCAGGTGGGTGTAGGAATTATTTATTCAGACCTAAGTTACATTTCATACTAAAAAGCCTTAAATTTTAAACCTTTTTGTAGTTATATATCCTGAATGTCTGTGAAGTGTGTGGTACAGCATTTGTTACATTAATTCTCATTTCGAAGTTATATGTAGTTGTAGAAAGAATTTCAGAGGGTCCTTTATTCTGAGGAAGGGTTAAAACCAATGTCCAGCACATAATTTTGTCGGTAATAGAATATTTTGAAATCTAAGTGAAATTACTTTTTTACATATTTTCAGAGTGCTTCACATACTGATTCATTGCTAACATATGCAAGAGGATATGAAGATTATCTGCAATGCCCTCTTCAACCCCTCATGGATAATCTGGAATCTCAGACATACGAAGTTTTTGAAAAGGATCCGGTCAAATATAATGAGTATCAACGTGCCATATACAGTGCTCTTCTTGACAGAATACCTTTTGAAGAAAAGGATACCAAAGTTGTGTAAGTAGGATTCATTTTCCATTTATATAGAAACCATTATTTGGAATTTCACTGTAAACACCCCGCCTCCCACCCAAATTCATATTTGAGGTGCCTACTTTGAAATGGCTCCCAAGCCAGGAACTATACAAGTTCTAATATTTTCCATTGAAGTTCAGTTGTTTCGGCACCTCCATAATAAAAGACCAAACTCATCTCATACACAACTTCATATGAGGTTGCTTTAAAGCAGTGGTATTCAACCTTTTTTGTTCGTGTACCCCCAGATATAATTTCTCTTCAACTTTGTACCCCCAAAGTTGTTGGTGTATAATTCAAGTTATACATAGTATATAACCTACATCTAAAATAAATTGCATTACTGATTATTCAGTGTTTATCATAAAATAATATATATTTTGTTAAATTTCACGTACCGCCTAAGATGTCTTCGCGTACCCCAGGTTGAATACCACTGCTTTAAAGTACAGTGCACATCTTCAAAATGTTATGTTCAGCTACAGCAAAAACTTAACAAAATATTTCTCTTCATATAGCTTTGGAAATGACGTCATGGTGTGTAAATCAAATACGTTGAAATTTGTGTTTCAGTGTCGTGATGGTGGTAGGTGCTGGTAGAGGACCGCTTGTTCGTGCCGCTTTGAATGCAGCTCATAAGGCAGATAGGAAGATCAGGGTTTATGCAGTAGAAAAAAATCCAAATGCTGTAGTTACGTAAGTTTTTAGTTTATTCTTGCCTAATCAAGATTAAAGGACGATGTATGTATAGAAGACAATAGTAACAATGCTATGGGTTTTTTTCTCAGTTTACAGGCTCAACAGGAAGAACTGTGGGGTGATCAAGTGACAGTAGTCTCATGTGATATGAGAGATTGGAATTCGCCTGAAAAAGCTGATGTTTTGGTATCCGAACTTCTGGGTTCATTTGGAGACAATGAACTCTCACCTGAATGCCTGGATGGGGCTCAGAAGTTCCTTAAAGGTAGGTACTTGAAGATAATTTTACTTCTTAATTTTTCTCCTTTTGTATCCTTTAAGCATGGAGTGCAGTGTAATGCCATCCACTGGCATGCAACATGACGTGCATGCAGATGATAACTGCTTTGTGCTTCCATCTACGTGAATTGTCTTCCATCTACATGAATTATATACAGACAGATTTGAGGTGGATGACACTAGTGTCACTTGATACATGGTCCTGAAATGGTGTATGATGTGAAGATGGCTTCTTCTGGGTTGTTGCCTCTTGTAGTCTGATAGACGTTTGCCTGCGTTTCGGAGGTTATTGTCTACATCATCAGAGTGATCACTCTTCTTACTTTATTTTTATTGCTTTCAGTTTGAAGGTTTTTTGAGATACCATATTGTGTGTTTTATGCGGTTTGTGTTATCTGGTGTATTATGCAAATGATTTAACAGAAATGGAATATATTAGAAGGAAAAGTGCTGATTAATTTTGTGGACCAAACAGGAGTTAAATAAATGTGGAGCTTCATGATTTACAGTGGACTCTTTATCTAATGTTATTAAGCACTTAATTTTAAATTATGATAAGTTAATTAGTTACAGAACATTTGATGGGAGACTCGTTTAAATTATGATAAGTTGAGTAGTTACAGAACATTTGATGGGAGACTCTTGTGAAAATAGACTATTTGGAAGGTTAGGAAATAGATGGAAGTGTAATATAAAGAGAACCGTAGGGATGTAGTTGTTGTGATGTTAGTTCCATGGAGAAACTGTGGATAGTGGGTGATTATTATTTTAAGGATGATTAACTATCATCTTCCATAAGTACATTGGAATTAATGACTTAAAATATTTATTTTTCTGTTAATGAGATCTGTCTTAGAAAAGATTCTGATTGAATCAAAGGAAAAAAAATAATTACTGTTTTTTTATGATTATAATTAAAGTTGTTATGCACCTAACATCTGCCCCAAATACACTTTTATACTGCAGCAAGCATTTTATTGTGTGTGTTTGCAGGTGATGGTATTAGTATTCCTTGCAGTTACACTTCATACTTGTGTCCCATCCAGTCTTCCAAACTGTATAACGAAGTTCGTCTCAGCAAAGAGAAGGACAAACATGCATTAAATCACTTTGAAACTCCGTATGTTGTTCACCTGCAAAACAGATTTCAGCTAGCACCAACACAGGCGCTCTTTACATTCCACCATCCTAACAAAGGTAAGAAAAATATTTCTTGTGTTTGTCTTGATCTAAGTTTGTTTTGTTTTGCTTGAAAGCAGACTGCATTCGTCCAAGAAAAACTAACAGTGCAGTAGAACAGACACATTGAATAAGTTGTAGATTCTATCATAATTTAAAAATACTGTTTGTTGTTGCTTTATGTCCAGTGTGAAATTGGGGGTTTGCAATTGTAGTAACATAACTTTTGATTCTGGCATTTCATAGCTTTGGTGATTCAATTATACCTGTCATGAATGTAACTTAAATTTGTATTTATTAATTTTTGCTCCTTTACAGATCTCTGTTTTGTTCTGTCCTGTTTGTTTCCATCCCACTGACTATCTTGTAGATACTTCTTGCTTTGTTTCAGGAAATAACAGGAGAATTTAAAATATAGTCCTATACTAGTTCTGTAGTGTACCGTCCCAGTGTGTTGTTTGTAGACTTGATTTTATTTTCACTTTCAGTTTTTACAAGTATTAATTTTTGTCGCCAAACACAGAGTGTAGTTGCATCTGGTACCCTTTACATTTGTCAACAAAAGTATACAATTGTAAAGCAGTGGGAATTGGTGTTATGTAAAAAGTTACAGTGACAACATATAATGTTGATCAGTGACTAATTGTAACCTATAAAATGAAGTAATATTTGCTTTTGTTTCAGATGAAGTTCTTGACAACACACGATATAAATGCTTGTCATTCAAGATAGCTCAGGACTGTGTACTGCACGGTTTTTCTGGTTATTTTGATACAGTTTTGTACAAAAATATAAATCTCAGTATTGTACCAGAAACACACTCAAGAGGAATGTTTAGTTGGTTCCCAATTTTCTTCCCTATTCGGGTAAGTACATTACCGAAAGATATAAAATTCATTTATGGCTGAAAATTGTATTTAGTTAGCTTAGAAATATGGCATTTATGCAGGTCAGTATGGAATAAATAATCCAAACTCATTCTGAAACATACTGCTGCATAATGCAGCCCCATTGCTCAGCATGCCCCATATCTTCTTATTCTAAACATAATTTTTCACATATGTACTGAACACAGTATACAAGCTTTCTCCTAGATTCAACTGGGATGCATTCCTTGAAAATGTTGTTGAATCCGTAGGGTTACATGTAAAATGAGCTGATGCACCAAATGTAGTAGTTAAGTTGTTAACTCTCCTGCTTCATATTCGTGTCAGAGGTCACAGGTTCAAATCTTGGCCTGGAGACTGCTATCCTGACTTAAGCGTTTTATGGTTTTCCTCAGTTCCTCAAAGCAAATACTGGGGTAGTACCTTAAATTAGGCTGTGACCACATCCTTCCATGTCCTTTCCATTTTATTACTCTCTGTAATTCTCTCGTCCGACACTCTATAGTCTAGATGCGAAAAGCATTGTTAAATAAACTATAAATAAATCAAAATAAATGAGTGGTTGCCTTCTTGACCAGCCAGAGAGAGAGAGAGATTTGTACTTGTTATAAGGAAGGCTGTCAGGTGGGTTTTATGCTGGGGATTGTACTGGTGACTTGAGAAGTGACTTTATAGGAGGTTGACTAGTAAATCCATTTGCATAAGACATTGTATCATACTTCTTGTATCCTTCATTTGGTTGAATACCACCCAGGAAAAAAATTGTTGATTACTAGAATTGTGAATGTAGCATTTGCTCCAAAACACTTCCATGAATTAGTACTTTTTAAAAGCTTTATTGAGCAAGAATGAGCTTAGTGTACTTGCCGAAATATTTCGAGCTTGGGGAAGTGAAAATCTACAACTTATATGGATGAAGTGAATTGTAGATTTCATCCAAATATTATTTCATTTTGAAGATTATTGGTTGTCTTCTGTGCTGAGTGCCATTTAGTCCACTGATATTTTACAAGTACTTGCTGCCTCCATCATTAGGGTGATGAGTGCTGCAAGTACCTCTGAAACATTGGTAATCTACCAGACTGCATGGTGCTACAACCTAGAAGATAATCTTCTGAATCCTTGCTGCAGTGAAAACCTCAGAACATACTAATTCTCTTAGTCGCAAAAAGTAATGAGTTTAGTGCCTTCATTATTACGTATTCTCCTAACTCTGAATGGTGTTAAACTGTTTCTGTTTTATATCTTACGTATCAGGAGCCTGTGCAGCTACAAAGTGGTAATGAATTGGAGGTGCACTTCTGGAGATTATGCAGCAAGAAAAATGTATGGTATGAGTGGAGTATCACAAAACCCATTCCTGTGTCTGTACATAATCCAAATGGCAGGTCGTACACCATTGGTCTGTGATAGCAGAAGCAGTACATGTCTCATTGTGGAAAACTGTGCTGCTAGCTCTTTGAATTTCTGTAAGTCACAGACATTGCAAAATATTTCATGTAGTAAATGGTATGATAGATATTGTTGGAAAATTGTGGCATTGGATTTTAACTACTCTGTTCCTGTATAGCTGCAGGTAGCCCTCGATTTGCGCCAGGCCAATTTGCGCCGATTCAGAATAACACCGATTTTGAAGCCAGAAAGTCAAAAATATATATTTTACTATTATTTGTAACATTTTATAATGTTTCTCGTACTACTTATACTAAATCGTAATGCTTACATCGCTGATTTTGAAAAAAATTATAAATACAGTCATCTCTGCAATTACGTATGTTTCATTAACGTGAATTTGCTCCAATGAGATCAGTGAAACGGTAAAAGCTGCTTGTGAAATGCAAACTTTTGCCTATACAAGTTTGCTCTTGTGTAATTTCATTCCTGGCTCTTTTAACTTTCAAAAGACTAATTTAATCATGAAATTTTGAAAGAAAGAAAGAAGAAATCATGACAGTCCACACTACATGCCTTCTTTAAAAAATATGACGATCCTCAGCCAGGGACTTCGTCAGAGAACTAACGCTGCTTCATCACGCCATTGCCGATTGTAAGTGTATAAAATATATTTTTTAAATTCCCTTTATTTTATTTACATTATTTCAGAGCTTTAAATGTAATGCCATTATATTACTCATCAATGTTTGGGTGCTGGGAATGCATGTCATTGACTTCCCATTGATTTACATTATAAAATCGTTCCACTTTACGTCGATTACGCCAGTTCGTCCTGGAACACATCCCCGGCGTAAATCGAGTGCTACCTGTATTAATTGGCTTTTTAACACAAATTGGGGTTAAAATTATGAAACAGCTTACTGAAGCCCACTGTTACAAGATTTAAAGAACATAATCATTGAAATTATTATAAATGTTGAAGCTGGTGGAATGATTTATACATTTTTGTGATCAGCACTAATGTGTAACAAATTGTGTACTAAAAACACTATTCTAGTATTCAGAAATAAGGGTACGAACAGTGCGACTGACATATACTGAAACATATTTATTCACAGGACATCCCATATTTTTTTCTCAGTTCTTTAATTTATTCAGTAATAAAAGTAAACATATGGGTTTTATTTTTCAATATGCTGTCTCAAATATAACAGTATTAATTTTGTTATGTTTTGAGAATAGAAATCAAAATACTAAAATAGACTGTGGCATACAATTATAGGGGAAAGAGAAGTTTAAAACCACTGATGAGATGGCATGAAACTATATCAGACTCTGTATCAGGGCAGGATAATAAATCGTGCTTGATTCAGCCACTGTGTACCAGTTACTCAAAAGGTTAAAAGAAGTCCCAGGTGCAGTTTGTTAGTAAAAGACTTTGGCAAAAAGGAAGATATAATGAGCATTAAAAATTAATTTATGGTATTTTCAGTTTGAAATTAAAATCTTAACATTTTTAAAGTCAGTCAGTACATCAGGCTGTTTTCCATGTTGGGCAGAGCTGTACCAGATGTATTAAAGTTAATGGATATTTTTTCAGAGATGACAGAGGAAGTGGGAATTGATAATACATGTTAGAAGAAGGTGGGCTGAAAATATATGCCAGAATCGGGAAAATTTTAATGTTACATGGCCATGGAACATGCTGGACATAATTTTTGTTTAATTATTGTACTTGCTACCACAACATACTTTAATTGGCCACAGATCTATCAAACTTTTATGACTACTGGTTGTTGTGACTTTTGGTGCCACATTTGAAAGTTTTTAAGGACATCATGACTTTATCGCTAATCATGTGCTTTCAATGAAAGATTCACGTGAACATAAAATAGTACTTTCTGTGTTCAGCTATGATAACTCATTGTGTTTCTTTAATGAAGATTACTTGCAGAGTTTTATGGCCTTTCTTTGACAAGTGGCAGTAACCTTGTGTTTTAAGACGCCGTCTATATAGTTTCCTTTTACTGTATTTTTTTTTTTAGTTTATTTTGATGTGTGTTGTCCTAAAATGATGTTATGCTTATGAATTATTGAGTAAAACAAGGTGTTCTAAAATGATTGTGTACCTTTAAGAACGATACAGTGGAGTTAACAGTGGTATTGAGTGAATTACAGTGACTACAAACTTCCAGTTTTCTTTTGAATGCGCATTGGAAATTCTTGGTTAAATTTAATACATGTTATGTCAGTTTAAAGTTGTGTTTCGGTTTTTAGGCCAAGGAAACTATAGAATTTGATCAAACACATCAACAAGAGTCATGTTCTTTTTTGTGGAAACTGTAATTATTAAAGAAATTTTGAATGATGTCATTTAATAAAGACTTTGCATAAACAGAAAAGAGCTAGCAACATGATTACTTTATTAACACTGGTTGTTACAACTGTGTTACTTGTACAGATGGTAGGTGCCATTTCCAACATTGACCGATGCTGGCCAGTAAATTGCACAGGATGAAAAATGCCATCATAATGGCAGAAAGTTCTGTATTTTAATGTGAATTGTATTCACTGTCAATTTTACCAAAACAGTGAAGGAAACAGAAATTTTTCTTATATATTTAGCACAATACATTTTTACATTCAGAATGGTAATGTTTGTTGGAGAGGTTGCCTAATCTGTTTACCTCAGTAATAAAAAATTGTAATTGTTGCAGTATAGTGATTTTATGCATCAATCATGTCTGGTCCCAATATTACAGAAGTGGTTGGGTGAAGTTACAGTAAAATATTGCATCTAGTCTGCCCAGAATACTCTGAACTTCATGATTATTGAGATTCATAATTAATTTGACATGTTCTACATCCTTTGGTTGAGTCCTAAGAAGGATCTGTGGAATGTAAATAAACTCTACTCTACTCACACTATGAAGACATATACCAGAGTGGGTTTTGCACTCTGCATTCGTAACTTTAGAATTAGATGGAGGTGAATGGTCGTTTGTTTAAGTCCCAGCTGCTTCACCACCAGGAAAAAGAACCCCCACCATTAGAGGAGCTTACGTGGGCCACACCCAGTCTGAACTTTGGACATCCAGCTCATAGGCAAAAGCACGTGATCATCAAGACATGTTTCCTTTTTGCCTCGTTTCTGTTAGAAGCCGTTATTCACAATTAAAACATCTTGGTGGCACGATTATTGGATATTAGAAGTAGAATTCACCAAATGGTTGTGACTCACTGCAGTGGGAGATTGGAATCAGAATTAGTACTTACTGTTAAAAAAAGTTAATTTGGGGTGGGGACAGGAAGTAAATTTAAAGGTGAAGAACAAAAATCTGAATTTCAGTTATATGTAATGAGATGTTATGATTTGGAGCCTTGTAAGTTTGAGGCTTTTGTTTGTTTTTCAGCGTACATTAAAATTAAACTGCAGTTCCCTACGGGCTACTCACGGACATGCGCAAAGACAATACATAACCACTCTAGCCTTCAAGAAATTCACAACATTTTAAAGAACCTGAAGATTCATTACCATGTTCACAAGAGCCCACCACTGATTCCTGTCCTGAACCAGATGAATCCAGTCCATACCACACCATTCTGTTTCTCTAAGATCAATTTTAATATTATCCTTCCACCTGTGTGTAGATCTTCCTAGTGCTCTCTTTCCTTCTGTTTTGCCTACCAAAACCGTGTATACATTCCTCTGCTCTCCCATGTGGGCTACATGCCCTGCCTATCTCTTCCTCCTTGACTTGGTCATTCTTATTATTTGAAAATTGCACTTGTGTAACAAAATCTTGATCTTCAGCTGAACGTGATCATAAATACACTCTTTTAATGTGATAGTTTTAATTAGATTTCTTCTGATTTCAACCCATCCTTGAAGAAATCATAGTGTAACTTTTTTTTAGCAAATTGGGGAAGTACAATAATGAGTACAACACTCACATCAAATTACAATACAGATGTTTGCAAATTTGTGTAACTATAATATTTATGCCTTCCCACAACAGTCATGAACTTCAGTGTATAGACTTAAGATTGTGCTGGTTGTAATTAAATTGTTTTTTGAGCATCAAGAGATTTTTATTGAATTCAACAAGAACATTTCTGTGAACAGTCATTGTCTAATTGAACTGATGTTGAATAAAAGGACATTATGCTCTGTTAAAAAGCCACGTGCCAGTATAGGGTTGTGTTAAATGTAATTTGATATGAAATTTTTTAGTAATTCATGACATATGCAGTGTGTAATAAACAAAATAGTTACGATAATTGTGAATATGTCTGTATCTGTGATGCAAGCTAACACTGAAACTGTAGAAACTTTCCTGAATAGTGAGCAATTCCTCCATAATCCTGCATTACATCAGTTACCAAATACTGCTAAAGATACAGGTATGTACCTTATTATTGACTTTGAATGGCTGCCCGATTCTTATAAAGCATAACCATGTATTTAAATGTACAATGTAAGGTTCAAGGACAGTTTTAAATAAGTGTGTATTCTGTTATGATATTGATGCTTTTGACCCTTTAAAAAAAGGCAGAATGCATAATTCTTGTTTTGTAGAGATAACAACTTTGTACCAAGTTCCACTGAGATGACCCAAATGAAAGGTCATATCAAAACCATGGTTGTCAAATTTCCATTTGTTTGCTATGTAATGTTGCTGAAACTGTAGTATTCACATTGTATATTTAAGGGAAAGAAAAATGCATTCAGTGAATACAAGCATTCTACATCTGAACAATTTGCTTGCATGCGTAATGTATAATGAAATACGCTTCATTGTGAATTTATAGTTCTACCATTACAAAGCACAATCCTATGCAATACTGCCAACACCCAGAACATTATTTGGCATGTCAAAATTAAAATTGTCAGGTGTATGATTCCAATGATTTCTGGAATTTTTATACATCTTTACCTTTACTAAATAGAAGTGTGGATTTAAACCTCTGTAATATGGGGCTGTCAGCTAGACTTTAAGTTTGCAGTTAACAGTTTAGAAGTATGTTAATGGTTTGCTGCATAAGCCAGTTAAAACAGGTTAATACACAGTAGACTCTAGTTATCAGTTACACAACAACCATGTTTCAATTTCAGAGGTGTAACACCATATAAAATATTAAAGTTTTTAAGTGGCATATTTCAGTAGGTGTGTATTTTTCAAATGTGTTGAGGCTTACATATTTCACTGATCTTGGTGTTTGTATGGGGTGTCTGGTGATTGTCAATACCTCAGTGTCTTGTTTCTGACATCGTTCCCAGTCGGAGTTATCATGTGAACATGGGTATGATTCTCAAAGGTTACAGAGATAGAGATATTTGAAATTCAGGATGATTTCAACCTTGGGAGGAACTTCATTGTCTTTCAGCATTAAAAACCCAATGAGGTATTTCCTCTATTCTGTTTTCTCTGGATTAATACATCGTGTTTTCATGTAACCCTATACATGAAAATGTAGCATACAGTAGTGAGGTCAAGTGACCATTCCTACTATAATGCGGGGTGACCCATTATGGTGGAAGTATAACAGTAATTATGTTCAAATCATCTTGAATTTCTGCCCATAGCTCTGCAACCACTGAGAATTGGACTCATCTTCATACATGACTCGGGAATAAGACCGTCCATCTTCTGATACGTCACCAATGTGTCAAAGGAATGTATCAGAAAATTGTTTGTGCAAAATGTTGGTAACCGCCTGCAAGACCACTATCAGTATTTTTTACTGTCATGAAAACCTCAAATCAGATAATATTCTGAGTGTGCACTTCTAGGCATTTGTGTTCTACAGTTTTTAAAGAATGAACCAAAGGAGCACATTGTAAACTATACATGTTCATAAAATAAATTATTATAATTATCTGTTCATTAAATATTGAAAAATTATTTTAATTGCCTAAGGAGGAAGTGTTGATACTTTCAAAAGATTTAAGTGGGCCAGACTACTAGAATAAATACCTTGCCACATTTAATATTGTAATATTTTTCTATTGTGTCCATTGCCTAGGTAAGACAAGTTTGAAAAAGTGATTGCTGGAGTACACATCGCTTCCAGCACCATTATTTGCTATAGAGTTCAAAGGTTATAAGGGCTTGTGCAAACGATTTTGGGCTATGTGGTTCATCGTCGTCTCACTTCATGACTTTGCGGACCCGTCCACGATATAATATTCATACAGTAAAGTAAAGCTGCCTCACAATACGCTATATAGGCGCTTGGGGGGTATATAGCTCCTATTCATTCTTAACCTCGGAAATAAATGGGGGTAAGTGGTCAGCGTTACTCCCGGGAAAGAACCCCATTGGATAGGAGGCTGAGTGGACGCAGGAGGAAAAATCCCGTGCTCCTGTCAAGGAACGAACCGTCCGTAGCCTGTCACTAACTGAGCTAACCCGGCTCCCCGATATATGTGCAATGTTTAACGAAAATTTTTGAGTTTTGTAGTCGGAACTAATTCGTAATACCGCCGGTAGATGGCAGCACGACCTCTTCGGCTAACGAAGAACAGGCATGGCTGGGTACAATGTTTTCTTTGCTTTCGCTAATACAGAAAGATTACCCAAATGTACAATGTTTCGGAGACCGTCTCATACTGAATTTAATACTAGACCCAGTGACAGTTAATACATTTATATATCTGGGATGGAGGCAGAGGTAACTTATGCAAAGTTTATATTTCTCATCCAGACTGCAACGTCTACGAAATTTCTCACGTGACGTTACAATTGTCACACAACTTTGTAAAGGTGTTTTACTACGCACAGATGAACTAAACGCTACCCAATCTATGACGTCATGTTTCAACATGGTGAACTGCGCAATGCATGTGGTAAGGGAATTTTGAGAATGTGGTTCAGTGTGTTACATGCTTGCAATTCCTTTCGTATATGAATGTTGTAAGCTGTTTCTCAGATTTTGTTTACGTACGTTAGAGCAGCTAGGGCCGCACTTAATTTGGTGTATTTAGTTGCCGTGTACGATTAAAGAATAAACTGACAAATTTATAAAAATGATTTTGTGTTTGCAAATGGTTACGAAATGTGGACAGATAACTTCCAGGTCGTCTCGAATGCTGGGTATATTGCATAGAAAGTGTGTTAAATCATCGCCTATATCTTTCCAGAACTTCAGAACCATCAAGACAACCCTTACATCGTATGCAGGTTTGTAGACATTTTCAGTATGTTTGATTATTAATTACATATTGGGGTGATATATTAATTAAGCAGGCCGGTTTACCAGTAAGTGTACTGTGAAAGATTCTGTAGTGCACAGGAAAAAGGTTTGGATTTTGAGATATATGTGGCCCACGTTTGGCATGAAACGTGCATTCCAATATCGAGTAATGTAATAAGTGTGTTTCATGTATTTGCTTTCATGTATATTATGTTTCATGCACTTACCACTGATTTACACAATAGGGTTAGTAGAGAAGATGATTAACCATTGTGTTTTGTGCAGGATTGTAGATGTCATGAAATATTCTACTCAAGTGTATAAAAGTATAGAAAAACTGCATTGAATCCATAAAATCATTAAAGGCTAGTTTGGTTGTTACTTAGAACTTGTTCTGAAAGCTTGGTGTAGCTCTTTTACTTATGTTATTCATTAGTGTTTTTATGGAACAAATAGATACAATGCTAACTTCATCAGGCACATCAAATTACATGTTTCAAATTTTTGTTAAACTTCTTATTTGGTTAGTCTGTTGTGTAGTTAATAACTAACTAACTAACTAGATGGCTTACCGAACCCGAAGGTTCATCACCGAATTAACCAAAGCCCTCCACCGGACCCTGTCCTGGGCCAACAAAATCCAGTTTCCTTCAACTCCTATCTCTGGTAAGGGAATTTTGAGAATGTGGTTCAGTGTGTTACATGCTTGCAATTCCTTTCGTATATGAATGTTGTAAGCTGTTTCTCAGATTTTGTTTACGTACGTTAGAGCAGCTAGGGCCGCACTTAATTTGGTGTATTTAGTTGCCGTGTACGATTAAAGAATAAACTGACAAATTTATAAAAATGATTTTGTGTTTGCAAATGGTTACGAAATGTGGACAGATAACTTCCAGGTCGTCTCGAATGCTGGGTATATTGCATAGAAAGTGTGTTAAATCATCGCCTATATCTTTCCAGAACTTCAGAACCATCAAGACAACCCTTACATCGTATGCAGGTTTGTAGACATTTTCAGTATGTTTGATTATTAATTACATATTGGGGTGATATATTAATTAAGCAGGCCGGTTTACCAGTAAGTGTACTGTGAAAGATTCTGTAGTGCACAGGAAAAAGGTTTGGATTTTGAGATATATGTGGCCCACGTTTGGCATGAAACGTGCATTCCAATATCGAGTAATGTAATAAGTGTGTTTCATGTATTTGCTTTCATGTATATTATGTTTCATGCACTTACCACTGATTTACACAATAGGGTTAGTAGAGAAGATGATTAACCATTGTGTTTTGTGCAGGATTGTAGATGTCATGAAATATTCTACTCAAGTGTATAAAAGTATAGAAAAACTGCATTGAATCCATAAAATCATTAAAGGCTAGTTTGGTTGTTACTTAGAACTTGTTCTGAAAGCTTGGTGTAGCTCTTTTACTTATGTTATTCATTAGTGTTTTTATGGAACAAATAGATACAATGCTAACTTCATCAGGCACATCAAATTACATGTTTCAAATTTTTGTTAAACTTCTTATTTGGTTAGTCTGTTGTGTAGTTAATTTTTATTGAATATATATATATATATAACAAAATTATTGGTCTTCCACATGTTGGGCATAATGGCCCATTTAAATCTCATGCCATTGTGTGTGGTGTCTTCAAACATCATCATCCTTTTGTTTGGTGACAGAGAATTTGGAACTTTATAGTGGATCTGTAGTTTCTAGTAATTCTATGACTGGTTGCATATTTCATTCCTTTATTATGTCCAAATTTTCATTACAGTCCAAATGAGTACAGTCAACTGTTCTCCCAGTGATTTTAATTATGTAATAATTCTAACTGCTACTCAGCAGCATACCTTAAATACTCTGGTTGCTGAAGGAATTTGCCCAGCACTAACCCAAAGTTATTTTGGTGTAGAGATTCTTCAATCAAACTAATGTATGTGCAGCAGTTTCTTGAAGTTGCTTTGACAAATGCAGCTTAAACCTTATAATGCAGGACATATCCCATGTAAAGCATATTATTATTGCAGTGATAAATTTTTAAATACTGCTTCTCTTAATGAATGTATTTTCTTTTTTAGAACGCATGTATACAGACAAACATGAATGGGTTTTAATTGATGGGAAAATGGGCACAGTTGGAATCTCTCACTATGCACAGGTTAGTTTATAATTAAGTAATTTGTATGGTTCTAGAGGAACAGAGATTCTTTTTGGCAAATCACGGAACAAGTTGCATGTTTTTCTCTATGATCCTGATATGTTTTTGTGAAACTATAAACGTCACAATGTAGGATACTTTCTAACTTTGATAGTAAAGTAAAGTAAAGCTGTCCCACTATGCGCCATGTAGGCACTTCGGGGGACAGGAGGTATAGCTCCTACTCATTCTTGACCTTGGCACTAGATGGGGTGAGTGGTCAGCATCACACCCCGGCCACACATTACTGCTGGGAAAGGACCCCGGTACCCATTGGATAGGAGGCTTGGTGGGCCCCAGAGCTGATTTGGATGCAGGGGCTAGAGGAAAAATCCTATACTCCCGTCAGTTACTAAATATTGCAGTTGAGTGGTTGGCATTTGTGGTTCATATTTGGGAGGTCCAGGACTGAAATCTCAACCCGAAAGCTGGCTGTCTTGACTGAGGTTCCATTTAAAGAAAATGTTTTATTAAAAGTATCCTAGAACTTCATGGTTAAAAGTAGAATAATTCATAAAGTCTGATAAATATCTAAACTTTTATTTAACCTGTGTATCTAAATTTGTATTCATTTTGTTATTATATGTTGATTTAAATGAAGCTCTGTTCAAAATAAGTGTGCCTACTATGTTGACAATGGGGTGCAAACCTGGGCAACGTCTCTGATGGCAAAGTTGTCTACAAGCTTGGCAACATATGTACCTGCCATTTGACATAAATAAATAAATTATATTGAAAATAGTTTGCCATTTAAGTAAGTTTAGACCCACGCACATAGCACATCACAGTAACAGAATTGGAATCATTATGTTATGTAAGAGATGTCTATAGAATCTGGTACATATGCCTGTTTTACTCACATTACTAGAAGTCTGCTGGGATGTAGTAGTGGGAGAAGGGGATGATTTTACTGCACTCTGCTTATTCCTTTTCGAAACACATCATACTTCAATAGTCTCGAGCAATGTAGTTCATTATGCATATCAATATTGAATGCAGGGGTAGATGCGTGTTCTTTGAAAGTGTATAGCATAATCATTGATGCCCACCCCATTTCCAGCGGACTTTTCATGATATGCAGACAGTACAATAGAATCACCGGTTATTGCTTGTAGTATAAGTGCCGTGTGTTATTCAAAACAGGTAGTGTACTTTTGAGCCTAATTCTGTTTAATTCTTGGAATTTCTTTGGAAATGTTAATCAAATGTATGAGTCTGATAACAGCTGTTCATTCAACAATATTCTTTGCTATAAATTGAAACAATTAACTGTCATTCACTATCATTTCATACTTTCATTGTTATGTAATTAAGTTATTAAAGATGTTACCATCTGATAATTTCAAGCATGTAATGAACATGTCAGTTTAAAAGTGAGAAAGTTTTTCTTTTGTTATTTTAATCTTTAGTTACTCTGTTACTTCTGTCTGTTTAATATGACATTGTTCTTATTTTAGGATGCACTTGGTGATGTTGTATATGCACAACTACCGGACATAGACACTGAGATTCTAAAGAAAGGTATGTGTAGTAGTTTAGTATCATCTTGATTTTCAAGCCAGATATATTATACACAAACATAAGCCAAGTGGAGCAGTTGTGCAGTATGGAAAGAATGACTTACAGAATTGTGCTCCACTGCATTAAATCCATAAAAGTAAAAACTCCTATATGTGTGTTACTTGTGTTTATCATTGGAAATATAGTGTTCAGATGAAGGTTTCTAACTTCTCTAAAACTAAAGTGACTGACAGGAACAAAGGCAGGTGGCATGGAGAGAGGGCGAGATGCAAATTGTGACCTTGCACGCTTCCAACACTTATTTCACGCATGTCAGGAGCATGTTCTTGCGCTTTGGCAACAATGTGGACTGGTGTGCCAGCAGCAGCTTAACACTGAAGTAACTGAATAATTTATGTGTCAGTTACCCAAGCGAGCATACAGCTGTGACTGAAGGTGATTGGTTGACAAGGGCAGGTGACAGTAGTGTGCAAAAGTGTCCAAAACATTGAAGCACTTCCCAGTTTATTGTTATTTCTAAAGAAAAGGGTAATTGCCAGCTGCTCTCACTAGTTATTACTATTTTAAAAATGTAAAAACTAAATAGATGTAGATAGAAGAAGGTTTTTATTTGGCTATCTTTTTCAATGCTACAAATATCACTTCTGAGATAAATTAAACTTTCCTTTCCTTTTTATTTCCCTACTACTACTACTACTACTACTATATTACATTGAAATGAAAACATTATGGGTTAGTAGTCATATAGCGGTGTTTCCCAGACTTGTAACGTGTATACTTCTGGGAACTTGGCCTTATTGGCATACCCCCTATCCCAGTTAGATCAAAATTATTTAACTTGCAACTGGTCAAGCCACAGTAATGTTCGTGACTGTAATCATGAGACTTGTGGGGTGAGGAAGTGAGGTGATGGAGGAAAGATAGCGTCTGCTATGCAGTATAGTAGTACATTTTGGACTTCCTGCATTCATTGCAAGTCTCAAGATTACAATCGCAAACAGTACGATTAAGTTGTATGTTCAAACTAAAGAAAAGGCCGTGGGGTAAGCTAAAAAGCATATAGAAATATAAGAGCATTATCAACTTAAACAGCATTGTTCAACATAATTTATATCAGTTTATCTGACAGCAGATAGAATTCTAGAATAATTTTTAATAATTTAATTTTGCCACATGCCCCTTAAAATCCCTTCACGCGCTACACTTTAGGAAACTGTTGTATAGGATAGTCTGTATTTTTATTTCTTAAAATTTAAAATTCTGATATGTTGCAGATGAATGTGGAGCTCTAGAGAGTGTGAAAGCTGCTAGTGAGCTGTATAGCCCTGTATCAGGCAGAGTTGTAGAGAAGAATATTGCGGTAGAGGAAACACCTGCTCTTATAAACCAGTCATGTTATGAAAAAGGTATGGCAGAATGAAATCTATGTTTATCATATAAAAATCGCTTTTTGCTTTCGTGCTTGTGTGTACTGTATTTAAATTGTAACTTGTAGCTCAGCTTATTTTCTTCATATAAGCCTTCTTTAAGGTCTTGTTGTAGAGAGAAGGAAATAGACTTATGAATGCAGTGACGGAAGAGTAGAAATAAATAGAGGAATAAATTTGAATGAGCTTCTAACACTAGTACATATATATCCAGCAGCTAAGTCGCCATGCTTCGTTATTAAAGACAAGATTGGAGGAAGGTTCAGAGTGAACTTATGATGCTTGCTTTCCTGTCATGCTTCAACTGTAAAGGTTAATTAGCAGAAGTTACAAATTAATAACATAATTACGCAACTTTGTTATCTATTTCTGTGTATAATTTACTTTAGTATGGATTTCCTCTATCTGAAAGTGAACTCACAGCTTAACCATGCTTGTAATATTTACACAAATATTATTTTTCTATATGTTTATGATTTTTCTGTATCAAATTCACATTTGTTGCTGCAGTGGTTTATCAACTGCCTTAGACTAAATGGTAAATACAAACTTTATATAGTCATCGTTTTACGTACCATCTACATAAGAAGATTCAACAAACATGCCCTTAGGGAAGGCACAAGCAGTGTGCATTTTATTTACACACACTGCCTGTCTGGTGTATAGGCGTATGTAACGCATTCTGAATCAAGCAGGAATTAGCTAGATGGAAGGCCAGTTACTGGAGTTTGGTGGCGTATACTTACTACTGTTCGCGTGCCAAGAGAAGTTTGCTCGGAAGTGGGAGAAGATGTTACTAGGCACGCAAACTCTGCCTATTCCTGTTCCAAATGCATTGTACTTCAGTACTCTGCAAATGTTTTGTGAAAGTACGAGGTGCGATCGGAAAGTTTCAAGACTGTGTCAATAGATGGCGAACCGGATGTAGTACGAGCTTCTGCCGCTAGGGGGTGCGGCCTACATTCATAGTGAATCAGTGTGCCAGCCGGCATCATCGAATTAGCATTTGTTTCTTAGTTACGGGCGTTTTGGTAGTGCATTACACCGACCCTCCTGCGATTTCGGAATGGCGGATTTTCATGAACAAATCAAATTTTGCCAAAGACTCGCCAAAACCGCTACGGAAACCTATGAAATGCTAAAGCAAACATTTGGGGAGTCCGCAAACTTTTGTGTGGCATTCACGTTTTAAAAATGGCCGAACCCCTGTCGATGATGACGAGTGCATCGCAGCCAAATTTTTGCCAAGGCTCCTGTCTGAGGACCAGAAGCAGAATCGACTTCTCGTTTGTCAGGAGCTCAAAGATCTTGCAAGAACCGACCCCAACTTCCTTTCTAAGCTCCGTGTGACTTCTTCCTCTTCCCAAAGATGAAAATTCAGCTAAAGGGAAGGAGATTTGAGACGATAGAAGAGATTCAGGCAGAATCGCAGATGGTGCTTGACAGGCTGACAAAGAAAGATTTCCAGAGATGCTTCCAGGCTTGGCAGCGGCGCTGGGAGCATTGTGTTCACTCCCAGGGGAACTACTTCGAGGGTGATGGATGAATTTAATACCTGAGATAAGTGTACGGGTTTTTATACGCGCAGTCTGGAAACCTTTCGATCGCACCTCGTATGTAGCATAGCATTCCCAGCAGACTTCTCATGGCGTGCAAACTGTAAGTAGTGGTTATTTTTAAAAATAACTGAAGTTTATTAAAATATAACACAAGATGTAATCTGTTTAAAACTACACATTAACATATTAAGAAACTGAAAAACATCGCATTGTGGGTTATGAGTGTGCCGATTTAAGAATAACAATAAATTACATAATTTTAATCACACTTCCTTTCTTTCAAATGTTTAATTTTTTATGGTTAGATTAATAAGAACTACAGAGTTATAATTATGTAATTTGGTTATCAATTCTGTGTATAATTTCATATTACTACCTGGTATTTTCTGACCATTACCATATTTATAATTTTTAACATATAAAACATAATATTCATATAGAATTTGTAAATATATTTGTGGTAGATACGTCTTCATACAAGGTGGTACACACCTAGCCGAGGCTGTGCCATAGCCCAGACAGTCAGTCAGTTGCAGGTTACTTGCTTGGCTTTGAATCCAGGGCAGCCCATGTGGGATTGGATATGGACACAGTGGCTTTTCTCCAAGTTCTTGAGTTTTTCCCTGTCATTATCACTCCACTGTTTTTTCATATTTTCTCATGTATCATTTGGGGGCTGGAAAAAGGGCCCATTAGTGGCTGCAGCTCCGCAGAGACATAGTTTCCCTTTTGTAAAAATAACAACAAAAATGGTTCATTAGTTACTGTCTTCAGGTGGAAAGTTGAATATACATTTTATGTGGCTGTCATGTTGTTTTACATTCTACAAAATATTACTTTAACAGACATTGCATATTTTTGAAAGATCTACCACAGAAATTGTGAAAGAAGCATTTTAGCTGTAACTTTGATCTTGCATAAATTTGATACATTCTCAAGCATCTCATTACCTTTTCATTCCTGAAATAAATTTCTTTCCCGTTGTTCATTTGTTGATGATAGTAATGCAAGCTGCATATATTATATTATTTTGTTTCCGTTTTCATAAGAATGTTTCCTTTGTTTCCAGGTTGGTTGTTCAAGATTGAACTTAAAAATCCAGATGAACTAAAGGAATTAATGACAGAATCTGAATATGAGAATTTCCTTAAAACTGATGCCCATTAATGAGATCAGATATATTATTTAAACCATTTCAGGGAGTTTATCCAAAAATTGTTTTTATGGGAGGTGTTTCTCTGAAAACATGTTGCACTGAAAGACCATTTAATTTATTCTCTTCTCGCATAATACAAAATAGAATGTTATAGATAAAATTCATTATTATTATTTTTGCAACCTTCTGTTTTATTGTTGGAATAGAAACCAGATTTAAAGTATCTTTTTCATATTGCATGTCTTTTGTACAAATCCATTGATGTGTGATAGCATTTTGAAATTCTGTGAGGAGCTAATATGAATATTCACGTACCTTAAGGTCTTTTGTTCTGCCTCTAACCGTCTTGCAATGGATCTTGTAAAAATGCAAGGTTAGGTTAGGAGCCGGTTTCTGCAGGACTCATATTATTCTGAGTTTAAACTTTCTGGTCATGTGGATCTTGCGTTTATGCAGGAATTATTTTGTGGAAGAGTGGAATGTCTGTCGACAATATGTAGAAGCTTTTACTTATATTAAATATAATTTCTTCCATTAGATGTCACAAATATCTTTATTTTCAAAGTTATGCCAATTTGATGGTATGTTGTTTTAATAAGGTTATTAAGTGGTAGCCATGGCTTCTTTCAGACATAACAGATTACAGATAGTATACCTTATTTGCAGATTTTAAACTGTATAGTGAATGTAAGGATAGTATGTAATCTGTCACTTAAAATTAAATTGAACAAAATGGTGTCCAAATTTATTTATTCAACCAAGGAATTTCTATTAACAGAAATTATGCAGCAACAGGGTTAATTGTATTCTGTGTTTTTTTCTAGGTATATTTTGATATATTTGGACCATTTAATTTCAAATTATTCATCTCCTTGAATGTTAATTATATTAATTTTTTTAGTGTTTACGAAAGGTTTGCGAAACATTGCAGCATATTTTGAGTGCCATAATAGGATAAATATTATTATAAATCTGTGTAGATTGGTTGACACTAGGTCAAATACATAAGAATTTGGGGATAGGGGAAGATAATATTAATATACAAGCAGTTGTGATATTTGACTCTGATGGGCTTACATGACAGAGGTTTCATGTTCCATGTTTTGGGATATGTAAATTGTTGTATTTTCAATTTGTTAATGCATGTTTTCTTATCATTTGTTGATGACACATTATTACTAGAACTGATACACACGATTAATATTAAAGAATGTTGGAGTAATTTTTGTTTTGTAAAAGGAAGTCTATAGTCTGTAGACTATAATTTGGGATTGTATAACGATACAGAATGAATTTATATTCCCTCTAAAATCACTTAGTAGATCTTAAATATTGTACTCGAATATACTCATAATTTCTAAGATTATGTTTTTGTGGGTTTTATAGACAGGTATTTTTATATGTTAATAAATGTTTATTAAAGTTGTTGAATTTAAGAAGTGATGATTGTTCAAAGGGAGGAAAACAGACTTTTGAGGAAGAATGCAATGCTACCTAACTCCATGGAACAGAGTCCTTGAGAAGTTATTAATTGTCTCTTATCTAATTAGAAATTTTTCCACCTTGTTTGGAACCTAAACCTTCATTATCTTATTCACAAGTTTCTCCCACTGGTCCCTATTTTGAGCTATGTACGTCCAATCTGCATTCTCCATCATATTTCCTTAAGATCCATTTTAATATTTTGCTCCCATTTATGCCTGGGTCCAACACTTTTTGACCAGAATTATTCTCATCTGTTTCATGCATGATACATTTCTTGCATCTCCCACACACATTCATTCTCCTGTATGATGCTTCATTGAAATATGTAAGTTATTCCCCAGGAAGAGTTACAGACTAATATTTATTTCTATAGCCGTGGAAATATACATCATTGAAACACAAAATAAAAATGTGGCAAATGTGTGAAACCTATATTTAGCTTTCCATTTGGTAGCAGTAACTAATGAACCACTGGAGTCAGCAATGCAAAACTTTGTTTACAGATAAATTATTAGAATAACTACAGATTTTGAGTAAACTTTTATCGACTTTCTCAACTCTTGTAGCAGCGGTTAATCAATTTATTTTAATAACATTGTATAGGATATTGTCAATTTCTATGCACATTTGATAGACACAGTGTTTTGGAAGTTGATTCTACTTCCTGCTCAGGTGACTGGTTGTGGTTATACTGACAGCCATTAGCTTGAAGACAGTTGTAGAGCCATCTTGCAGAATGTTCTGCGTATCAAATGTACCTCAAACTCAAGTTCACAATTGCAAACATGGCAGCTCTGTGAAACTTTTAGATGTTGGACAGATTTAGCGTAGTTATACTTTATACTTGGAGAAATAGACCACTGAATTGTGTAATTCAGGGGTCGTCAACCTTTTCATACCTACCGCCCACTTTTGTATCTTTGTTGATGGTAAAATTTCCTTACTGCCCACCGGTGCCGCACATACTGCCCACCACCATGAAAGAGGTACAGCTCGAAGACTGAGTGATGGCCGGTGGTAAGCCCCGCCCTCGTTATGCTCACTAAACTCGTGCCTTTGGCTACGGAGCTCATTCGTTGCTCCCTCGTCCACGAGTGTACTTCGAGAAGTGTCCGGTGAATTATTATCCATATTCAAAGTTTAGAGATGGAATTCCAAAGTAAATTGCAAAAGCATATTTTAAAAAGTCAAACTTGCGCGAAGTTGTTAGCAATGTATTCGATATATGGAGAAAGAACAAAATTTGTAACAACGGACAGAAACCCCCACCGCCCACCATGAAAGCTTGAATCGCCCACTAGTGGGCGGTAGGGACCAGGTTGATGACCCTTGCTGTAATTTATAATTATTAATTCTGCATTCTTAGTTGCATCCTTTTGGTAGAGGGCCCAGACTTTGAGTAGCAAAATCACTGTATACTGATAATGATCGAAGGTTATTAGTACATACTTCAATCCTTGAAAATGCATCCCACACATCTGAAAATAGTTTCCATAGCACCCACATACAAATTGACCCGATGCTTACGTTTTACAGAGACTAGGTATCTCAAAAGACTGTCGGACATGTTACAACTTATTTTATCATTTATCAAAGATAAAAGCATTTGAAGGAAAGTAAGCATCATAAGTCTTTCCCTGAACTTGTTGATTAAAAATATCTGTTCTGTCTTTTATTAAGTATACTTTAAACTCTTTATAGCAGATTTTAATAATGTAATATCTGAATGCAGTAACTATATCATGCATCATGGCTATCAAAGTTGCATTTCCTTTATCCTTGGGCTCCTGTTTTTGGAAATAAATGGTCGTACAGCAGAACTTTACAAGGAATTTATGAGAAGAGTCTGGAGTGAGCCCATTTCAGATATGAAATAAAAGTAAGTTCATATGTAATGGGAGATTCCTGAAAATTAATTTGAATTCTTGTCATGCCATTTTAGGTATTTTCCTCGAGCGTGACGGAATGTTGAATTAATGCCGCGGACGTCTTTGTGAGATAGTGGTTTGTGGTTTGCCGATGCATATGAAATGTCTGCTTAACAAGATCTGCATCTTTTTCAAACCGGTTACTGAATTTTCGGCCGTAGCTGCCGTTTATGTTTGCTGGAAGGTAAAGCGCTTAACTTTGTATTCTGGAGGTAACCTGGTTTGAATCTTGGCTAGGAGATTGGCCAACCACACAGATTTTGTGTGCCTTTCTATTCATCCCACTAGTTTTTATATTTTCTTTCGTCATCTGGAATAGCATTTTATGCACATTTTGAAACAAAATGTAGTTTTGTTTGTTGTTAACCTTCATGGACGAAATGAATTTTATCCTTACAAACCTGTTCAATTGGTTTAATTTCCTGCTATAATAGAAATAAACATAGCAACAGCGAGAACTTCTAAAGTGGAAGCAACACTTACCATCTGTACAACCCTGAAATTCTGTGAGGTGATAGATATTCAAAAACGTTTTGATACTTTTTTTTAAACTGTAAAGCAACAAAATAGCTGCCTAAGAAATTCAATAATGAACCCCCGTGAATTTTTATATATGTAGGTAGATCATAAACAGAACTAAGAATTCTATATTTCATTCATGTGAACATACAAAATTTTGATATTATGTGTGACAAATTTAACTTTGAACAATTTCTGCTAGTGTTTCATTGTTGAGCTGTTTTCATTTATTTATTAGGAAAAATGGGCTTGTGGTTCCGTCACGCCTGCAAGAGTATGTCCATCCTCTTGTCTGTCTTTACTTATAAATTTCAAGTACGCAGTGGATTTTCGTGAAACTTGGTATCATATCATCGCTAAAAATTCGAAGACGTTTTTATTATGTAATTTAATTGAACTAATTTGGCTCACATGGTGTTTCCATAACGTGGATTATTCCCATGATTATGAATCCTTGAGAATATTTTTGCAAATTGGCCAACAGTGTTATATCATCATGTATGATAGAAGATCGAGAAGGAGATGTAATTTTGTTATACTTCGTAAGTGATCTTTGCAACATCAAAAGGTGGCAGTATAAATAATCATGAATCTTCCTTCCTAGAATAATTAAAAATGAGACAAAAATTAGAATCTTTGATGTAATAATCCCTGTAATGGCTGCAACATTTTGAATGCGTAAAGATAGCATAATTATTAATTCATTAGTTGTGGGTTAGGTTAGGTTAGCTTGGACATTGACAATTTTAACATGGCATCATCATTGATAGGATGTACCGAGGGAGAAAAGTAACTTGTGACGTGGTTTTTGTGATCAGAGGGTGCAAAAACTAGCGGAATTTACAGAAAAGTAACTCAATTTGTAAGAGGAAAATGTATAAATGGGAGAAATTATGAAAGTTTGTTTTGGATGGCTATTGACCGTGATTTGTAGAGGTTACGGAGGTGATCGATTTCCACGTCCTTGATGAACATACAATTGACTTTTATGAGATTGCGTCGGTTGTCGAATTAAGCGGTGAAAGAATTAAGTTACGTTTTGCAATACATTGAAAGGAATGGCGATTACATCGATTGGTAAAGTGTGTCTAATTATTTTGTGATTATTTTGGCAGGACTTAAAACAAAAATTCCTTTTGTCGTTTTACTCGCATTTGTAATGTAAAACTAAAATTTTATTTTATCAACTTTGCCTGTAACTGATATATAATTTGGCGGGTCAGAACACGAAGCTGTCCACTACACCCTTCAGTGTCTATAATTTTTTGTTGTGTTCATTACGTGGAAAATTCGCCTTTTATCATGTGGAAAGCTCTTTATTTGGACTCGGAGAAAAACTTTAAGAAATGTATGCGTAGCGTTTGCCAGACTGTGGTCTTTGCGAATGACGTCAGAGTTCGCCTTGTGGCTTTGGATTCTCCAGGAAACTGGTAATGAAGTTGAGATTTCAGGGTCTTACGGCGACGAATATGAATATTACTTTTTTGGGGATGTTGCACAGTATATTCTGGTAGAAGTTTACAGACGTTTGAGAGGAACTTGCTGATGAACATCTCAGTGATGATGGAGGCAGCAAGCACCTATGAAACGTCGTTAAACTCCTACCATGCTACACAGCGCAACAACTCAAGAGTCATCCATCTTCATACTCCCTGCCGTGAGAACCTGAAAACCCACGAAATATATAATATTTTGAAACCAAAATTTTTAAATATTTTTACAACTATTTGTGTTGCTGTTTCAGTGGGTCACAAATAGAAAATTGAAACGTAATGTCTTCTGATGGGTATTTGGTTACGGATTAGCTTGTTGTGTGAAGGTTGTATAAGCGAATTTTACATTCTCATCAACCATTCATAACCATTAACAAAACGTCACACATAATTTACAGTTAGTGCGTAAGTTGTCAAGGACCGTACCATGTTAACTTAAACGTCGCGTAGACTAGATACCAGCGTTTCGTGGGAACGTACTACCTTCATCTTTAGCCCTGAAGAAGGAGGCAATACGTTCCTCTGAAAAGTTGCCACCAACCTAGAAGCTCACACGACGTTGCAACCCAGGAGACCAACAGCGACATTTTCACCGCCTTCAGAACCCGTGTCTTTTATGTCTGTCTCAGTTTCGAAAGGTGCGCGGTTAGACTATCACTTTTCTCGATCTTTCACTGTGAATGCCAGGACAGAACATTATGACGATTAGTTCATTTCGCGTTATATTCTATTTATATGCAACGAACTTACGGAACTCAGATCGAATTTACCTAACCAACCTGGAATTTAGATGTTCCATTTGAAATCCTTCTTGGGCCTCCGGCTTTGAGCTTTAAATGTAATTCCAATGTCACGGTTCTAGCCTTGATACGAAGTAACAGCCCAAGAATATCCTTAGTCTTATTACCGCAAGGAAAGTGGTGTTACAGAGTCTGCTCTGTTTGTATAAACAAATTGGATAATTTTCATCCACCTTTCGAAGGTAATGCCTAATAATCTTTAGACCCTTTT